TTTTTTTTTTTTTGTCATATTTATTTTTATTTGTACAATCTGTATAAAAAAATATTTACAATAAGTACAATGGAGATAATGATAGTATATATTGGTAATTGGACATGGTTGACTTGTTGAAGAGACTATTCATTAATAGCACTTCATGGCAGGATGGGGCACGATTTAAAATATAAACTTTAAATCGAGGAGCTACTTAGTAGGTATTATATTATGTTTTGTTGTGTGGCGTTAAGCGTTTTCTGGTTGACCATTGTATTCTTGTATCCAATTTCATACTTTGCTATCATTTTATTAGACATTTTATAGTATAAGATTACTGTAGGTCGTGGATTTCGAATTTCGATGCATATGCATCTTTTTTCTTGGAATACTTGACACGATGCTTTCCAGGATAAATAATATGTGTTTAAACTTTCAAGTAGGTATTTACTCACTATAAGTATCCTATCAACAAGCTACGTTTGAAGTTTTTGATGTTAATTAGCATTTTTAAAGCATTCTTTATTATTTTAGAATTATGTGAAAATTCTGAACCTAATCTATATAAATATTTATTGTTATCTTTATTGCTGTAATTTCACTATCTTAAATTTTTTACTTTTGACCTAGTTGTTATTTTGTTTTGTTTTTTTGACCTAGTTGTTAATGTTGAAATGTTTTGTTGTACGATAAATAAATAATAATAATAGCATTATTTATGTAAAAAAAATATTTGTTTTATTATATGTTTGCTTTTATAAATAATAGTCTAGAATTAATAAATATGGGTACAATAAAATACGATTTAAATTTACAAAGATCAGTAAGAAAAATATACAAGTACTTATTACTAAAGAACAAACCCATTACCTATTGGACTATTGGAGAAGTACTATACATGTACTTATGGATGGAGTATAATTATTAATTACTAATTAGTAGGTAATGTCATTGATATGGCGCAAAATTTCAAGTGTAATTTATTTTCTCAAAATAAAGGTCTTGAGACGGTTTGTGTCGAAGAATCTCCAGTTATTAAATTTTGGTAGCTATGGCAACCAGTTTTATATTTATATTTTCATTTTAAAATAATAAATTTTTTTCTGTTTTTATTATATTTCGTATTCCGCAATGTAACTCTATGTAGATAAGACTATAGCACGAATGATAAGTCACCTGGTTCTGATAACACAAGACAACATTAATATTCTCGATCCTATCATTCGTAATTATTCGCATGTGATTATTAGTTTGAATATTACGGCCATCAACATAATTTAACTACCTATTAACGTTATTATTTTCTCCCATCTATTCCATCATGGAGAACTGCTTTGGCGATCATGCATCATGATGTGAGGATATAAGTCTTAAGTGTTATTTCCCAATCTTTGTAAAATGGAGGATAAACAAGTCGTTTTTTTCCCTAAAACGTTGTTGGGGATGAGTGACATTACAGTTGAGCTACTAGGTTTTATCGAGCTTATGAAAAACGTCAGGTATTATTTTGTACTTCCAAATTATATAAAGAACACCAACACAGTATGTAAAGTGAAGACAATTGGCCACTTTACCAAAACTGATTGTCAGGCCTGTTTTAAACGTAGATTCACTAATATTTTGTGCATAACTGAAATCAATGGAAATTTGAATGCTAGTTTATTGCCAGGACAACTAGACAATTTTGTGTTGGTCATATACGATCCTTCAAGATTGTACGACTATGGGACACTGTTCAAATATGAAGGTGACTCACAGAAATTTATTTGTTTCATAATGCTGTCCAATTGGTTATCTAGTACAGAAAATGTGCAGGAACAATATCATCTATCAAAAGTTGTGATGTTTCAGAGATTTGCCAAATATTTGTTGATTATACTTAATGTACTTATAAATGGTCTTGAAACAAAAATTGTACAGCTTACAATATTACGACTGACATTATTTAAGCATATATTGGGTGTATTGAAAAACTATGTATGGCTAGTAGACAATCTCATACATAATAAGCACATTTTATCAAGAGCAAAATCAATCAATTATTTGATGTCATGTATTTGTGATGCAGTTCTTGGAATAATAATTCTGTATATACTCAATACTTCATTCACTTCGTCAAACGAATTATTTTCCTACATTTCAAGTATTTCTCATGTAAGCAAATTTAACATATTTTTAGAAACTTATTTTACTTAAAATTGCTATTTTTATTTACAGCAAGTGATTAAAGTGCTACAAGGTATATTGCAATGGCTTATGGGTAGTCCAGCAGGGTTAAAGCTCAATGATCCTCTGAACAGTTTGCTTGGAACATGTTTTCTTTATTTAGTCAATCTTTGGTGGTCTTTTTTAGGTAGGTAATGTATATGTCTTACTTTTATAAAAAAAAAACTAATTAGTCATTATTAATCGCACACTAAATGTAATGATAAATGAAAAGGAGACATGTTTACTATTTCAAATTTAAATTATATATTAACTACTTATAGCTAGTAATAAAGACTAGTGTTAACGTCTCAATGAAACACCA